AGAAAGTCAGTTTACTTCAGTTTATAGCTTGTTCTTCATGCAGGCTGCAATTATTGCACATAATATTTGTTCAGGCTTTAAGGCATTCAAACTAATCAGAAAAAAGAAATACATTCGAGAGCAGCATATCTACCTACGGTATAAATTCTTGCAGTATGTTTATGTATTTGTACATGAAGCCATTTATCATACTAAAATCAACATTTACTTCAATAACCAACATGTACATATTAAAATGTACCATAATATTTACCCTGGAGTCCAATCCTCTAAGACTTAAAAATTACCACATAATCAATATGCATTCAAAAGCCAGATGGACGATTTTATCGGAAAACGTCGCATTTTGGAACAGATGATGCTGCGGACATATATCCGTTGAACTCGTCGATATTTTCTCATCAAACGGGGGCTAGTGTTCATACAGTTATCTATCATGGGTGACTATAGTTTCTTCAGTGAATAAGTGTTCTTCACGTCTCCTCGTATTTGATGTAACCTTAGTGACAGAGCTGTATCTGACAACTGAGGAATTTTCCGAAATCAGTTTTCGTCTTTTCATAGTCCGCATTCTGCCTGATTAACTCGTGATCTTATTGTCTGTTATTAAACGCTAACAATTTTTTTAAGGAAACCCCTCCAATGGGGTATTTTGTCTCTGGCACTCTACAAATCTCCCTCGAATAGAGGAATGTAATTCTGTAACGCAATCAAAGATAACAAAGAGATTTTTCGGTGAGAATTTTCCATCACATAACTAAACGTAGCATTTCTTAATCGCAAAATGAAGTCGATGTCAGTTCTCAGTTAATTCGATGTTTGCTGCATGATTTTACAGAGCAATTTCCGTGCTTAAGGTCTTACAATGAAACTATTGCAAGCAAAGAGTAGGTTAAGGACGCTTCAGCTTAAAGTGTAAGTAAAATATGACACGAATTAGGCATCATGTTTGTCATAAGCTTCATCACTTGCGAGTGGTATACCTTGCACCTTTAAATTGAAATGTTTTCATCGGCGTCTTTTGTCGACGGTCTTGAAAGATGTTTTTTTGTTCCCTTCTGATCTTCAAATGCATACTTATTCTACAGAACTCAAACATTGCACTCAAGTATAGATCGAAGTATGGAACAATTAGAGCTACCTCTGCCCCTCGTAACTCGTGAAAAACATATTCTGACTGAAATCCCGAAAATAACAGTCAACTTTGTGAAGGGCATCAGCTTTGCCTGGTGGCCCATCAGATCGCGGATGCCTGATGCCATGAAAAATTAATTTTACTTCAATTAATACTAGCAAAACATTGAACAGTTTTTCAGTTCCCGTGGGATGAAAATCGATCAAAATACCGTTGTGGCCGAATTCAATTGTGTTTCCAAACTAGAAATATGTTTTCAAAGTAGTTGTTGAAAATCAATTTTCTAGTTTACTGCTGGCTTGCTGTGATTAACATGATACACTCCTTAATTTTGAGCGAAAGGAACAACTGATGCATGTACCTCTACTCCAAAAACCTTGAAAACTGCTGCTTATAAGCTGCCCCACTTAAAAGCGCTAGTCAAAGCTCTCGAGTCTTTCACATTGAGTGTAAGTCTCATGAAAACAAATTTAATTTTATGTTCTCAAGCTGAAACTATTGTTTCTCATAGCAATTAAACCACGGCTTTCATTAAATAACTTGAAATTAATTATCCTTTTAAATA